AATGATTAAGAGGTGTATTAAAGCGGAACTGATGGATGGAATGTATGAATGGTTGTATGGAACAGCTAAAGGACAAATTGAAAGGTGAAACTAAAGAAATGTTTATGGAGGAGATAAAAGACGATAAAAATAAGGAGTAAAAATGGATGTTATATAGGACCAGACAGAAAAAACATATCGAGAGGGAGTTAGGAAAGAAAAAACAAAATTGAAAAAAGACTGCATATAATGGTGTTTGTAATAGATTTGAGGGAGGATGAATGGAAAACAATTACAAAACAAAAGGTATAATAAAGATGATAGTTAATATACGAGAAGTCTAGAAACTGTGTGTAGGAGTGTATGGAGCAAAGAAAAGGTGGCAAGAAAAAATGGAAATAATGAGGAATTGTAAAATCCTGAAAAGAATTAGTCAAATGGTTACAGAAGAAAAAGAGAAAACTCCGGTAAGAGGAGGTAGTGAAAGTGGGATATAAGAAGATTGTTATTGGGAATAAACTTTGGAAATGGGATGAAGAATAAATGGAGATGGTAAAGGCAGACTAAAACAAGACAAGCGAGTAGAATACAAAGGTAGAAAGTGGAGTAAATGAAAAAAAAAAAAGATGAACCTTATTGCGTGGAATGTAGCGGGTGCAAAGAACAAGGAAAGGGCGCTTTGGGATATGTTAAAAGGGTATGAAATAATTCTATTAAGTGAAAACGTGAGTGGAATCTAAAGATAAAGTGTAAATAAAAAACTTTTAGATGACAAGTACAATTGGAATGTTATATGTGCGGTAAGAATAGAACAAAGAGGTAGAGCTGAAGGGGCAACGATAGTGGCTATAAAAAAAGGAAGAGGGTTAAGTTGAAAGAAATAGAAATTGTAGTGATCTTGATAGAAGGGATAGAACTAAAGAGAAGGTGGATAATAATAGTTGTGCCTAAATGAAGGAAAACCCAGAAAATTAACAATAATAGAAGAGCAAATGGTATTAAATGTTATTAACCGCCGCACTACTTTTGCGTTTAATACAAATTTCAATCTCTTATACGAGGGTGGATTGATAAGTTTCCGGCCTAACCAAGAGATGACGCCACTAGGCCTACCTTGAGGTGACATTCTATAGTACCATCCTTGGATAGCTTGTAGCTATAGTTTCAGCCCGATCTCCTTGCTAGTGTAGGTTTGACAGCACGCTGAACAAGACGCCTCTGTGGTTTTCGTAAAAATGGAAAAGCAGGAAAATCGTGCTGTCATCAAATACTTTTATTTGAAGGGGTTAACGCCGAAGGAAATTAAAAAAGAGATGGACTCAACACTGGGGACATCCTCCCCGTCATATTCAACCGTTAAGCAGTGGGTTTCCGAGTTTAAAAAGGGTCGTGTGAGCACCTCTGATGGGCCTCGCTCAGGACGCCCCGTTGAGGTCACAACTCCAGATATGATCGAAAAAATTCATCAAATAGTGCTGGGAGACCGCAGATTGAAAGTGCGTGAGATAGCTGAGACCTGTAAGATGTCATATGAACGTGTGCAACATATTTTGCACCAACATTTGCATATGGAAAAGCTCTGTGCAAGATGGGTGCCGCGTTTGCTAACAGCCGACCAAAAATTGATTCGAAAAAACATTTCTACCGCAAATTTGTCATTGTATAAGCGTAATCCAAGCGAATTTTTGCGTCGATTCGTAACCGTTGACGAAACGTGGGTCCACCACTACACTCCTGAAACCAAAGAACAGTCTAAACAGTGGATTGGACCAGGGGAACCAACTCCAAAGAAGGCAAAAACAATTTTTTCGGCGAACAAGGTTATGGCTACTGTTTTTTGGGATGCAAGAGGTATTATATACATTGATTACCTTGCAAAGGGTAATACTATCACTGGTCAATACTACGCAGACTTATTGCAACGTTTGAGCCACGAGGTGAAAATTAAACGACCTCATCTGGCGAAGAAAAAAATCTTGTTTCATCACGATAACGCACCAGCGCACACGTCAATCGTTGCGACGGCTAAAATCAACGATCTAAAGTTTGAATTGATGCCGCACCCTCCTTACTCTCCAGACCTAGCCCCGAGTGACTATTTTCTGTTCCCTAATCTCAAAAAATGGCTTGGCGGTAAGAGATTTGCGGACAATGAAGAAGTAATCGAAGCTGTAAATGGTTATTTTGAGGAGCTTGACGAATCAGTCTATAGAGATGGCATTAATAGACTGGAACACCGCTATGAGAAATGTATCAGCCTTGGAGGAGATTATGTTGAGAAATAAAAAAAAAAAATTTTTAAAAACCTTGTTTTTCTTGGTCAGGCCGGAAACTTATCAATCCACCCTCGTATGTTAATAATTAAAATAGCTAACAATATCAAATTTCAAGGGCATAATGAAAATATTGAGTACTACACAAAATCGTATAAAAACAAAAAAAAAAAGAAATTTTAATTTAATGTTACAAGAAATGGAGTAAAAGTTGTTGATTTTCAAAATGTGTATATGTAACATTTTTTTACTGCGTACTTTTATTTTCGGTGTTCCATTTATAAGTATATCTTTATTGAGCAGGCTAATTGCTTCCTGTTTTGACTACGTGGCGTTGGAAAATTGTAACACAAAAATAATTTAAAATAATGCCTACATTTTTGTGCTTACGCTTACATTCTGTCAACTTTTTATTGAATCCCAAAGCAGTCCAGAAATAGCTCCGAAATAAGTGGAGAAAACGATTGCAAGAAACACAGTCAAAAACTGTTTACATAGATCTTAATTAAGTGACAAAAATAATCTAATATGAAAAATATAAATAAAAAGATCCTATTTTAACAATTTCTTTACGTTGTCTGTGGCACGCATCATTGTCCTTTTTTTACTTTGTTTAATCAGTACTAACTTGCCTGCGGCGTCGTTCATGTAGTCCAGCGTTTTAGTGCGTTATAAGGGAATATAGGTATGATAAAATTAATAACTTTTACACGTTAATGATGTACAATGCCTTCCTTAACTGATACATTTCCGATCAACTGACATAACGGCTATTGTCGTATTATTTATTATTTTTGTAACTTTGGTAACTATGACTCCTTAATTCAAGTCCATTTCCCGATTCCGTCTTCCTGCTGTCCTGAAGGTCACTAGAATGTGCTAACTGTTATCTTAGTTCGGAAACTGCAAAAAACTCACAAATCCAACCCCCACATCGGAACGTATGAGTAATACATTTGTAATTTGTAGTAAACTTATAGTGAAACAATTAATTTTGTAGAGCCTATAGATCTCGAAAAATCGATTGATCTGCTGACATGATCATGTTGTGTCCTATGTCTAGATAACACATGGTTGAAATTGTACAGAGACAAACTAATTTTGTTTCGATATTTTTTACTCCTTTCATTGTTGTTCGCTAATAGATCAGTTTATGCGTCGGAGAAAGGGGAAGTTCTCGAGTTTTAATAACTCACAATTATCAACACTATTTTCTTTAAAATTCATGACAAGCTGGCATATGTCACCGAAAATTTCAGGATGTAAGACATTTATTGTGCCGGTAAATAGAAGAATTAAAAAAAAAAAAACGTAAGTATCATATTAAGTGAGCAAAACCAATACTTAGCACTTAAGACTAAGACCAAGACCGAAACTATATAAGCAAGACTAAGACCAAATTTAGAAGTATTTGGGCAAGACCAATACCAAGACTGGGACAGTCTTGTTCATCACTAATGCCAGCAGATCATCCAATTTCATATATTCGTTTTAGCCGATCTCGGGGTCTAATTTACATCATATTTTGTCACCAATTTGTATTTTTATTTAATTTAATTTAATTTTAAAATTGATATATGTCACACGCAGCAGAAAAACTTAACACTTACAAATTAGATACCTACCAGTTAGAACTTGGAATCGGGTGAAAAGGATATGTGATCTGATGATGCGGTATTATGCTAGCAACAAATCATCCGATTTACCGCGATTAATAGTCTATACAAAAGTAATCCTTTAACTAAAATTCACTAAAGAGTGATTACAAAATTTGATGCCATTTAGAGCCTGAAATTGGCTGGAAGGAATGTGATTTGCCAGTATAATATCAAGCTAGCAGCAGATCATCCAATTTCTCGGTATCAAAAGGCTCTACAAATACGACGCCAATTAGAGCCCCACATCAACTGAAATGAATATAGGTACATATGTAATCTGCTAGCATGAAATCGATTAAGATGTGTAAAATGGTTTGTTAAAACTATTTCCGTACCTCAATGAAAAATGCACATACTTTTTAATTTACGATCTCAAATACAAAATAGTTTCCCCTTTTGTATTTTAAATGCTAACTGCATATTTTCAAAATGCTTTTTTTTAATAAACTGTTCTTTATCCATTTAGCAATACGTAATAAAGGTTTTTTAAGAAAACGTTTTTACTGTTGGGTATTTGTTTTACTCTGAATTGGTATCATCGTTTAAGTATTAAAGTTTTTCTAAGTCATTAGTAGTGTTTGCACTGCACCCACTGCTACTAACATTGAGTAAGATTCTTTTTTTTTTCTGTTTCAAGTGATCTTTACCGTTAAAGATTAGAGCTAAAATAGGGTTGTACGTAATGTTATTGATGTAAACCCAAAATCAAGCTTCTTATATCAAAAAAATTTGCAACCTTGCTTTGATTTTGAATCTATAGTTTCTTTAGCTTTAGGTTCGTCTAATGAGTGAAGTTTTTGAAACCGTTTAAGATTTTTTGATTATATAACTATTAGCACATCACAATATCTTGTAGTTTTCATGTGCTTTCACGACCGGAGCCCATCAATTAGATATTGTTTTCCGGGCTATATAACCGCAGCCCAAGGAAGTTCGAAATATTTCTTGAAAATTCTTCTTGAGGCATTAATACATAAATAAAATTACCTATAAATATACATATGTACACCCAAATTCATAAAAACAATTCTTCATCCTAAGATGAATATTTTTATTCGTACTGATGAAATATTTATCTGGTCACGTTTACTTCGTTTATCTTGTTATGCTACAATTTTTATTTTTATTTGTTCTAGTAAAATTCCATATTGCTCATCTTTTCGAGGTCCAAGGGAAATTAAAAGGAGCCAAGGAACGTTATGAGTTACTATTACGGGACAAAAACATCAGTGCCTCATTAAGAGCGGATATTTTTAGACAATTAGGTAAGAAATCTCTTTTTCGGTTTTGTAAATAGTTATTTACACATAATTTTTTCATTATGACTACAATTATGAATATACGTTAATACTATAAAATGTATACCACAAGGTTACCCTCACAAAATATATTTATATTAAGTAGGATTGTACTGTAATGGGGGTCGATCATATATTACGTGACGCTTTTTTGCCACTTTTGGAACCCTGATTCCTTTGCCACGTATCATTACGCAGTTACGAGTACTTCTTTCTTTTTCTAACTTAGTCCCCACCGAATCGTTCTGATATCAAGGTTATCTTCCCTGTCTTTGAGTTCTATTTCTTCCCATCCCTTCCGTTCCTGTTATTGTTGATTATTTTCATTATTACATCAGCCATCAGAGCTCAAAAGGCTAGAGTGCTGACCGCCGACGTTTCTAGTTAAAAACTAGGTTAGGTTTTAAACGATGCAAACATTAGAATGCAAAACTTCGATGTGTAGTCGAACATTAAAAACAGTGCAAGTTTGGGTTGGTGAACTCAGATAAATTCCTGTTTTGTTTTTTATAACAATAACGAATCCAACTGCCGATGAAAAGCGTGTGTTAAGTGTGTTAAAATCGATGCTAGGCCATAAGGGTATTTGAGTAACCTTACCGCGGTTCAGTTATAGAACGGTTTGGACAAAGTGTGCGAAAATTTACGCAGCCCTGTAAATTCACGAGTTCGGACAAATCCACGGTTAGTCGTTAATGGCGACAAATGATCCAAGGTTCCCACCGTATCCTGGTCCTTAATTTCAACACCAACGCGTTATTTTTGGTGGATATTGTCGCCGATTTTCGTGTTTTTCCACGCTCCTGCATCCAATAACCCCAAGAAAGGAGTACCTACATACAAACTTTCTGCGGCAAAACGGTACGCTTACTGCAACGTACTGCACAAGAACCAAAACGCTTAGCCTAGGTCTCCGAAGAGGCCTCACATGAAGGCTTATAGTCGCAGATGTTAGCAGGCCCATCCTTGGGATTGATTTTCTCTTACATCAATCGCATGACTAAAATAGTACGAGATCAAGCAGCTGAGTGTAAAGTACCGATGGTGAAAATTATAAATGGATCATCGCCATACGTGGACGTGTCGGATATCGTGCGCTCGAACGGAGTTTTGCGAAGGCAAAACACCGTATCCAACACCACACCAAGGCGACGCATAAACCCCGATCGTTTGCTTCAGATTGTTCACAGGCTGTTAAACGGAGAATCGATGCTGAAATTAGGGACCATCAGGCGACGAACGACGTCTATGCGGCGATACAAAGGGCTCAAAGCGCGGATCGTACCAGATCGATGTATCCATGATTCTTCACACCTGGATGAAAAAAACGATGTTTTCAACTATCGACCTGGTTAAAGTTTATCATCAAATAGATGACATCTGCGAAACACCCATAGCAATGCCCTTCGGACTATTTAAGTTCCTCTTTATGTCTTTCGGTCTACGAACCGCGGCACAGACTTTTCATCGCTTCATTGATGAAGTACTGTACGGCTTGAACTTCTATAATGTGTATATAGACGACATATTGACGTCATCAACAATGGCACGAAGAACATCTCGCCCACCTGGAATCCCTATTCCGTCGCCTTTAGAAGTACTGGGTCATAATCAAATCTGCCAAATGCAAGTATTTCGTCGCCTTGTAAGGGCTCGTTTTCGGCAATATCCTGCTGATACTTATCAGTAGGGCAGAATAAAGCGGCACCACCAAAACTAATTAGCAGTGCATTTAGTTGAGATAAGAACGCATAGACGTTTAATTTGTGGGAATTTTAAAACTAATTTTTACTAAACTTACATCTACTGTACACCTTTAATTACAGTATATACATCGAACGAATTTGAATCTTAATGATTTGAATCTCTGATGAGAGTCTGAATGATGTGATTTTCTTCGCTTTACATGATCTGAGTCTGAATCTCAATCTATTCGCTTACATGATCTCAATCTTTATCCTTAAAACTAAGACTTAAATAAACTTAACTATGCAAATAAAGGGGGTGGAGTGTAGGAGTCCCTTCCTAAATATTATGGATGGCAAGCTTCATTGGTCATTACCACTGGGGGTGGTTCTGGTAGACACAATAGTCCTAGACTTCACCATCTGACCCAATTTCGAGTGAAAGTTTACATTTATGGAGCAATAAAATGAATCGCTTTGAGTCCTTGATGGACCTGCACATTACAAGACATGAATTTACGACAGCCTTCTTGCTGTCAACCCTAACCAATTTGTTTACCCTTTTTACTTCATAATTTATAACAGTGCCATCCATAACACTATTTTACGCATAGGCACAAAAGAAACCCTTCTCGAAATCGAAACAAAAGATTTTGATTCTTAAAGAAACTATTATTTCAAAAAAAAGCAGACGTTAAAAAGAAACTGAATTTTGAGTGAGACGAATTGATGAATAGGACTCGAACAGCAAGTTTGGACAGTCCATAGTAATATTCGTAGAATGCCTTATGAACAGCAAAGGGGTAACACTACTGTTGGAATGAATTGTATCCCTACCGCGAACAACTCTGGAAATTCTTGGGTATGGTGAAGTTTTACAGGAGATTCATTCTTAAGACAATATAAAAGGCAAGGCATCACTTACAATGGACTTCAGATGCGACCGCGGTGTTTAACGCCACTGATGACGACCTGACAACCGCGATGCTTCTCTCACATCGGATTCCCGATGTACCATGGATATTTTCTACGACGCATCAAATTCCGCAATTGGAGTGGTGATGGAACAGTTCGTCGGTGGAGCCTGACAACGGTTTGGCCTACTTTTCAAGGAAACTCAACTCAATGAAAAAGAAGTACGCCGCCTACGATAGGAAACTTCTTGCCATTTACGTGAATAAAACGTCAAGGTTTCGAATACGTCGTCGCCGACTTATTAGACAACAACTACCCTACATTGTCTACTAAGTCTTAGCTCCTTCTTTACAAATTTGAGAACACTTCTTTTTTTCCTAACTTCTTCAGTCCTGAACCGAATCCTTCTGTAAATAGATGTTGTTACTATTATTATTTATTAGTTTTATTATTGCGTCCTCCATCAGAACTCCAAAGACTAAAGCATATAACATAAATAGTATTCAATTGATGGACTTTTTTACAGTAGTCTGCAAGTCTCTCACGGAAGCGGAAGGATACAATTTTAATAATACATTCGTTAAACGGATATTATCACTTCCACAGCAGTGAAACAAAGCTTGTAGTATTTGTTGTAAACAATAAACACTGCTGCAAAACAAATGCTCCCACGAATTCAGTAAACAAGTGGTAATATCCAGCCTGTCTGCGGGTCTTTTGTTTACTGCATTCCTGCTCCTTTACAATTTTTAATACTAATATAGTTTTTTAATTTTTTTGTTTTTGTTTCAATGATCGAAGTAATGTAATGTTATTTGAAATCGTAACAGATTCCCTAATAGATGCAGAAAAAAAATTAAAAACTCGTAACACACTTCGCGTGCGTGATGTCAGACATCCAGAACTACTTTCAAATAAGTGGTTATTCCTGAATCCTGAAGAATTGAGCCTAAAAAATAATTATTATAGTGGTAGATTACCAAAAATATTTGTTATATAATTTTGAAGTACCAAAAATATTTCTTTTTATAATTTTGAAAATTCAAATTTAATGTAATATTGATCCTTTGTTGAAACATATTTTTTTTTCAACCAAATAACTTTTGGGTTTAATGTAGCATTAACTCTACAGTTCGTTTGATAGCAGTGTAGTTATTTTATTTATTCATTTTTTATATTTGTATTTCGACGAAGTTTCAGTTCATACTCGTCAAGATTTTATATAGAATTATGATTACCGAAATTTCTAACAGATTTCGAATGTTTTAATTTGCATATTTCAGTTAAAAATTTGTGGTAACTTTTTTTGATTGTATGTATTATCCAATAACGTAAGACAGGAAATTGATAACAAAATTAACGAACAAATGTCATAAGTTCGACATTATTAAAGTTGCTAACGTATCAATAATACCGTGGGAATTAATTTTATTTATATGTACCTACATTCCTATAGGTACGCATTAAAGAATTCAGTTTTTTACGTAGGTTCATTTGGTGTTTTGTACCAAATATAATATCAGTAGCAACATTTAAATTCTAATTGAAATGTCGTACTTAAAATAAAAAACTGAAAACTGACGAATTTCAAGCATCACAGAAAAAGGTGTACATTCAGACTTGAAGAGTTATGCTTAATATTGTCTTTAATACGTATCTGTTATTTTTCACAGGTTGGCTATATCACTGCCATGACATATTAGGAGATAAAAATCAACGTATTCCATTAGCTATTCACTGCCTTCAACGGGCCATCGACGCAGATCCGTACTCAGGACAAACTTTATATTTACTTGGTCGTTGTTACGCTAGTATAGGAAAAGTTCATGATGCATTTATCGCATATAGAAACTCGGTAGAGAAGTCCGAAGGCAATGCTGATACTTGGTGCTCCATAGGGTAAGATACTGCAAGGCATATTTATATCATCCATATCTGCATGATTTAATTTTAATCACGTTAAAAATTAATGAACCTCTAAATCGGCCAAGTAATCAATAAATAATAAATTCAGACAAAACTGCTACTAATTGAAATACAATGGGAACTTCAGTAATTACTTGCCACCAAAAAAGTTTTCGTTAATAAGACATGGATTCGTTAAATTTCACGCTAAAATTTAGAATGTAAAAGCTACATTTTAGGATGACCCTTAAGGTTTTTTTTGTTTTTTCTTTTTTAACGTGTGAAGAAATGATTTGTACAATGTCTGAAGAAACTTTATATAAGCATTTTTATCATTTTAATTGCTCACGCAATATTCATCATCATAAGGTCGTCAGCCCTAACACTGGTTGGACACGTACCTCCACTCTTTCCTATCGTCAGCTAATCTTCGCATTCCTCTAAAACTAGAACAACCCATATCCTTAACTATCTGCGAACAGTAATCTAATCTAGGTCTACCTTTACCCCTCCTAACTTCCGTTTCTGTCTCTAATATGTCTCTGACCAGACCTTCATGGCTGAGAAGGTGTCCTAACCTATCTCGCCTATTTCTTATTGACTTCCATAGAGTTCTCTGTTCTCTTACTCTTTCCAATACCTCTTCATTTCTAACCCATTTTTTTGAATAATAATTGTCTAGATTAGGTATTGTTACGTTGCTTAAAATATTGTTATATTGTTATACCGTACCTAGGTTTGTCTGTGCGTTTGTCTATCACTCAGTCGTGGAAAATAACGTTCAAAAGATGAGTGCAAGAAAATAAAAGGAAAAAAAAGAGAAAGATTTTGTAGAGCATTAAATAAATGTATTTAGAAGGATAATTGTTTAGAACATTAAAAAACTGGTTTTAAGTGAAGTGGTGGGGAGGAAGAACAGAGGGTGAAACTCCCTCTACACCTTGGCCCCTTCCTCTTAAAAGCAGTTTTTAATGTTCTATAAGATCATCCTTACTTCCTCTACCCATATCCTATTTTCAATGGCGTAGCGTAAATGTGTGCCACCCGGGGCGAAGCCTAAATTTAACGTCCTTCCTATTTTCCCAATTAATATCAATTTCGTTTAAATTGATAGGGATTGTAGTGAAAGCATATACTTTTAATTTAAAATATAATTTAGATAAATAGTGTTTACTATTAGCGTAAATTGAAAATATGTGGGCTTATTGCTTATTTTACATACAAATAGTTTTCCTTACAGACTGCATACATACATTAGGCATTTATAGTTTATTGAAATCGAGGAGTTTCAGGATTAGTACAATAATAAACAAAGGTGCGATCAGTGAACTGTGAAGTCCATACGGTCAACTTCCCAGTAAAAAATAATAAATAAACATTTTTTTTTAATTAAACGGAAAAACGAATGTTATGATTTTTTTTCAAAACATATTGTTATTACTACTACTTCTTCTCCAAAACATGTAGCAATGACATTGTGAGCTTCAAATTACGAAATATGTTGAAAATTACGATTTTGATTTTTGAGATCTATTACAAAAACGTCCTCCTAATGGGGAAGTTAATAAATTTCTGCAATTAAACTATCCAGGGCGCGTGGATAGGAATGAAATCTTTGCCTTTTTCCATATAGTAGAAGGTTAATAAATTACAACAAAATGTTTAATTTCTATTCAATGGATGCTAATTTAGTTAGGAACAAACACGTAAAATTAAGCTTGTGCGTTTGGAAAAGTCTCACATACCTTATTTGATGTGTATACATAATTCAGAATAGAATGAAGATTTTGAGAATTCGTCTTGGATTTTGTAAAGAATTGTAAATATTTCGATTCTTTCAATAGTGTTATCGCGTCTTTTTATTGTAAACTCTGAACCATCTAAAGTGGCGACTGAAGTAGTAAAATTTCCAGAAGATTTGTAAGCTTATTTTGTTGACTGGCATCTGCAGAAATAAGGAGAACGGTCCGAATATTAATTAGTGACAAAATTAAGGAAAAATTACCCTAATTGACTTGTCTTTGCAGCTAAAAAAAAAAATGTTGTACACCCTGTACATCTCCCATGTTTCGAAAGAGCAGAGTAATGGAGTTCGTTTGAATACACCCTTCTGAAAGTTTTCAAACTATTTTGAGCTTTGTAGCCACAGGTATATAACAGAATATAAAACGTGTTTCGTTTCAGTGGTGCCATAAAGTTGTAATTGCACTTAGGCATGAGTAAAGAGAGTCTGTTGTTGGCAGTTTTATTTCATGAGCCGCCACTTTAGGTGGCTTAGAGTTCAGCGCTAGATACATGAGTTTTTTCCCATAACTTTACAATGTTTTAAAGTATTAATAACTCAGGGTTTGCATCATTTTGCTGATAGCATTTATGAGATTTAGTATTATTTAGTACTCATTGTAAATAGAATTTGCAGTCCGCCAGGCGATTTCTATTTCTAATTTTTAGGGTTCGACCATTTGACCTTCAACTGAAAAAATGCCATTAAGCATAAGATTTACAGATTTTTACTAACACAAAAACCTGTTTTTTTGCACATCAAGATAGTAATCTTTTGGTACAAATTTTTAAAAACTAGCATTACTGCACAATGGCCCTAACTTCGTCTAATAAGAAAGAAAACATTTTTGCCAACCTCCACATTTGTGCCACCCGGAACCATGGCACCCTGTGCCCTCACTTAACGCTACGCCACTCACCATTTTCGATTTACACCTCAACCCCTCGCGCCTCAACGACTGCACCGACACCTAAAAATATATGTTTATCTTCGCCTCACGCCCACACCCTATCCACCCCTTTTTCTCACTAATCTGAGAAGGTGTCCCATCATTTGCACACACATATATATATATATATATATATATATATGTGTGTATGCATACACATGTGTGATGTGAGCGTGTGTGTGTTTTCTGTCCGAACTTTAATTGGAAGCGTTTCCAGTTGTTACTTGTCAGCTACCGACGGCTTCTGTTACGAGTTCGTTACGAAATCGGTCCATGGGAGTGGCACCTCTAATTTATTCCCAGACAACAAATTCGTTATCTGGTCGCTGTCAGATCATT